GGGCTAGATACGACCAGCACACCAGGCTACCACTGGGCCACCAGAAGTTGGGGGACATGGTCTGCCACCAAATTTGTGGCCCTTCAGCTTCACTGCCTTGGCTGTCAGTGGTAAGCTTGGCTCACTGCCACAGCACTCCCAGTCTGCACTACAGACCAGATGCTGCCACATGCAGAGCAGCCACCACCGACAGACTCCTTGCAACTGCTGCTGCATTAGCCATCCTCATGTCTCAGGCTGGTTCCAGCCTGCAAGGAGCCCAACAGTCTAGATCCAGCCTGAGGCCCGGGGTGAGTGTGACACCCCTGCATTAAAATATGCTCCTGTGTATGCCTCACATCCTCCATTCACTCCTATTCAGCCACCTTGACCTGTCTGCTTCTTTCTGATAGAACAGGTGTGTTAAACACATGGGCTGCAGGGCTCCTGTAGAGGCCGGGAATTTAGGGGCAGGGCCTGCTGCCAAATTCTGGGGTATGTATTTCTGTGGAGGTTGGCAAGCAGCAGCTGCATTAACCCTCATGGCTACCTGATGCCATTTATGTTGCCACTGTCTGCCCTGTCCTGCTGCCAAAAGTGGGTCTGGAGTCCTGCAATCCAGATCCAGACTAAGGGGCCAAATGAGTCTGACATTCCTGTGTTAAAGGAAGAATGACATTGGTCATCAGTGGAAAAGCATTCTTCATCTCCTTTAGGGAACATGTTTTATATAATGAAAAGGTCACTCTATACCCTGTTGGTGGAGAAAGTGATGCTGTCATGTCATTCTATTTAAAGTTATAGCCATGTTAGCAGTGATTTGCTCTCTGAGGTGGATGGGCAGGTACAGACTGTGACTTCTGGGATACTTTAAAAGAAGTTCCTGCCAGTGTCTGCCCCAGTATTAGTATCAGCTGGAGCTTTTGAGCAAGCTCAGTTTCACAGCATTTGTCTTCAATTTTCAGCTACTGCTCTTCATATTTGTAAAACTTCTCTTCTGTATCTGCACTTTGTTGCAGGGATTTTTCCATCATCTTACCCAAGGTTAAATTTTCAAAGTAGGTTTGAATGTTGGGATGCCTGACTTGTGGGGGATACTGGTCTGCTGACTGACATCTGTAAAACCTTCCCCTTCAGTGCTGGGGTGGTGAAAGGAGGCACTCTACTTTGATGAGGCAGCTCAGCATAGGAGGAGTACTCACTTGAGTCCTTGTGCAATTTATTGTGGGAGGATTTGAATTCTGTGCCCTCTTCCAGCTCTGGACATTGTGGGGATGCCTGGCATGTGTGGCCCAACAGATGGCAGCTGCAGCAGGGGCTGTAGCAGCAGGGTGAGGTGAAGACAATTAGCAGCTGGGGCCAGAGGCGCCACTGGGATAACCCCAGCAGCTGAGAATTCAGGCCATCTCATTGTGGTGCTTGCAGATCATGTCTGTGTTTCTTCAGTGTAGACCAACTGAGTCATTGGGAACAAGTTCTTTGCAAGCTTTTGGGTGCAATCACCCATCTTCAGGTGTAGGGAGTCTGCAGTTCTGAGATGTTCAAGGAAGTCTGTTGTTCCTTGGAAATCACAGAACAGCAGGCTCCCAATGCCTAAAGAAGGGTGTTTGTGCCTGAAAGCTTGCAAAGAACCCTTTTTTTCCCCAACAACTCAGTTGGTTTAATAAAAGAGATCACATCTACCCAAAGAACCTGGCCTGTATTGATGTGGTGTGTTTGAAGCCCAGCTCAGCTGGGTAGCAGGCCAGTACACACATCTGTTCTGAAAAAAAATCCATCCAGCACTGATTACAAGTCCACCTTACTCCAGACCTTGAGAAGCACCAGCATGTCCAAGTCTGACATTAGAAGTCCCATGCAGTTGCAATGGAAGTAAAAGTCCTATTTAGTATTTGTATCTTTCAAGCAGAGCATGCGCCCTGCAGACAGAATTTTTGGAGATCTACATTTTGCTCTAACAAGTTCTGCCTGACCATATGCAAGCTGCAATTTTTAGAACTTTATAAGTTGGCCAAAGCTGTGTAGTTTTATTTCAGGACAGCAAAAGGCACAACACTAGCACAAAATCCACTTAGTTGTCAAATTGCAAGCCCCGACTCCAAATCATAGAGGCACTAGATCATCTAAAAAACAAAACAAAACACCAAAAATCCCAAAAATGTCAGTGTCATTTAATCCAGCAAACCAATGTATTTTTCCTTCATCTTATTCTTCAAAATGGCTGGACTGTTTTAAGTGGAACTTAAACAAACCTGCCCAAGGCAAACCTCTGAAATGAAACAGGTCAGCCCAAAAGTTCATGTCTGGCCAGGGTGAGAGCAACTGAAAACAGGATCTTATGAGGGAAGGTATCAAACTACCTTAACAATAGGCAGAACTAGCACAGCTGTATACATGCCCTCCTCTTCCTGACTCACATTTGTATCTACCGAGTGACCCTATGGTGTGTACACACATACTAACTTTCTAACAGTTAAGTTGACCTAACTTTTAAGTCAACTTATCAGAGCATAAACCCCCCTGAGGTATATTCTTTTGAGCCTCATTAGTTAAGTCGACTTTGCTCAGAGGATAGCTGCCATTTAAAGGAGCTGTACATGCGTACGCTCCACATGCCTTAAGCCAACTTACTTAAGTTGCCTTAGCACTTACTTGTGCACACCCCCCTAGGTGAGGGCAACAGTGTGGCAGGCAGGTTTAGAACAAGGAGCCACAAAGGAATACAAACCGTTGTTCCTAGAGGAAGCTAGTGAGCACGGCCCGGGGAAAAGGCCCAGGCACCCGACAGAAGTGCAAGTGGAGGGCTGCAAAACCAGACGGGGGATGCGCATGCGCACTAGAACCAGGCGGTCCCTAGCTCGCAACATGCTGCGCGGGTCGGGATGAGACAACACGGCCACAGCGCATGCGGACAAAACGCTTCCCCCCCCCCCGCTCACGGGCTGCCAGCCAGCCCGCGGCCAATCAGCGAGCGAGGGAACGTGCGTCCTACCCCTTTGCCTAGCGGGGAATGGCCACGCCCTTTAACCCCTGATAGGGTGGCGTAGGCCCATCCCCCACAGGCGCGGCGAGGCGGTTTTCTTCCCTCGGGCGTGGAGCTGGTCGGCCCGGCTGAGCTTCACTCCGGGCTGCGCGCTGCTCGGCCAGACGCGGCGCTGCAAGGGCGAG